CTCCCCCAGGAGGACCCCAGCCCCACCCCCGGGAAGCAGGAGGCACAGAGAGAAGAGACAGGGAGCAACACAGAACGAACACAGAGAGATCATTGATGAGATGCAGACTGTGAGGTCGGGGTGACGTGGGCGCAGCAGGTGTCGGAGGGTGGGGCGCTGTGCCACGCCCTGCGGGCCCTCCCTGAGGAGCTGGGCCGTAGGGCAGAGACGCGGGTTTCTGCGGACATATAGCACCCAGACCCCTCGCGGCTTTGCCGTGTGGTCAGACCCTCGCTCCCTGTGGTCACTGCCCACATGTCTTCCTCAGACCCCTTGAGCCACTGCGCCCAGTCCACTGTTATTGGAGCTCTGGATGGATGGCGGCTACCTATGTCAGATGCCCTCAGTTCGTCGGGCAGCTGCCCTGAGGCTCCTGTGGACGTTGGGGGGTGATGGACGTACAGGGCACTAATGCCTGGTAGGTCTGCGCACCCGCGGAACTGGCGCTGTCCACGCGGCGGGTGCTGAACTCGGGGAGCGCCAGTTTGCGGAGGAGGTACTCGGAGGCCTCTATGGGCTCTGTGGGAGGTCCCACGCCAGGCAAGAAGGCCCTGACCCCCACACACTTGGCACGTGGGGGTGGGGGGCAGGATTTCCATCCACACTAGCTACTGTGGCCCACTGGATGTCTGGTCTGGCCGGCAAAGGTCTCAGCCCAGGGTCACGTTCTCGGATCCACTACCCTGCTCCCTGAAACCTCTGCAGTGGGTGTCCTTCACAGAGGGTCCTGGGACAGAACCTGGCCCCTCACTGAGACCCTGGACCCCCAGACCACATTCTCCCTGGGGTAGACGCCTCCGGGGTGGGGTGGGGGTGGGGAGTGGGGAGCACTGACACCCATCCTCCTCTCTAGGATGTCCTGAGAACAAACACTAGAACACAGAATTAGTCAACGCAGCTGGCACCGTCCAAACTGTGACCCTGAGGGCGGTAGCGGTGGAGTGGGGGAGAGGAAGCAGGGGGTACATTCTGAGATTTAAAACAATTTTTTATTCAAACTGTACAACAATTTACAAAGGAATAAAAACTCTGGTATATCTTATAGGAATCACAATACAAAAATAAGTGTAAAATCTGTGGGTGATCACCGTACACACCTGTGCCAGGCCTGGGAACCCCGCGGGCAAGCGGGAACAGAGGGTTGCTTGTTTAGGACGTGACGGTGACATGAATGCTACCTGGTGAAGTGCCACCAGGAGACAAGTCCCAAAGCGCATTTGCATACACTGCCGGGAAAGCTTTCCCACCCCTTAAAAACATACAGTACCCAAATGGAGGCTTTGATACATATCTTCACAAGGAGGTCTTCCTGAGCCGAACCTGAAACCTGCCCCGACCCTCTGGGAGCTCTCCACAACCTGCACAGAACCCCCCTGCCTCCAGGCAAGGCACACAGGCCAGCGCCCCCCACAGGCACTGGCTCCTGCCAGGCCGGCCACTGGCCATGCCCACCTCTCTGGTGCGAGCCAAGCAACCCGATGTCCCTGTGGCTCCCCAGGCCTGAGGCCTGGCATGCATAACGGGTGCTGGGCTGCTGTGCTGGCGGTCCCCTGCTGTGGACACGTGGCCCATGGTTACTCAGTCACACATCTGACTCCTTCCCCTCCCCCACCCCTACCCCAAGTCCACACAACTACCACTACGGAGCCAGAGCCTATATACTCCCCACAGGAAGTCCTGAACCACCACTGCAATCCAGGTTCAGAAACACTTGGGTCCTGCAGGGGCACGTTGGCCTGGCACGGACCAGGGACCAGGGTTTGCAATTCACCCCTCTTCTTCTGGAAATAGCTCTCGGCTGTGTCCTCGGGTGAGAAGCGGTGCTGGGTTACCAGCGCTGACAACCAAGCCTGTCCTCGAAGACCAGAACTGGCATCCAAGCAGACGGCAGGGTGTGGACGCACCCCGAGCCGGTGTCTCCATGCTGGGGGAGACCCACAGAGCAGCAACAGAGGCCTCCTAGCCCTGGGCACGCATCACCAGCCTCTCCCCAGAGCTGGCCTTGCGGACACACAGTTATCATGACGCGCTTCCTTCCGC